AATCTCAGCTAGCTGGGGAAGCAACCTTCTGCATTTACATAGTGCTGCCCTTAAGCAAAAGCAAGTGGGGAATTACCTTAGTTTCTCTACTTTTATAACCTGATAAATTGCCCATCAAAAAAAAAAAAAAGTTTCTAGATAAAGATCTCCATATCCAAGTTAATACTGAACCAACATTCCTTTAAATTGCTTCTCATAAGAAGGACTTCCTCTGCTATGTGTGTAATCATTTGGTAAACTTTCCCACACTTGGAGGTCTGAAACCATGTTAGAAACAAATGGTAGGTTCTTCTGTCTGAGATAGTGGGGATGGATTGGCTCCTGTCCCATATAAAGAAACAACACTTTGAAATTTTCTTTCTGGAACAAAACTGGCAAGTTAATATAGAACTTCCACAATCTCTCATATTGGTACTTGCCTATGGAGGGGGAGGGCTGATACTTCTCCAAGGCTTTAATTCACTTTTTTTTAAGAAGCTGCACTTTAATTGTGGGCCAGTGCAGACATGGTCCTAACCCTGAAGATACTAGAATGGAGATGGTGTCAGACAACAGTGTCATTATCTGGTGTCACCTGAACTGCCATTTAACAGGCTTGAACCTGGAATGTAAAAAAGCTTTGCTCTTTGAAACACTCCAGATCGACTCCATGTTGAACACCTCAAACTCAGTCCCATGTCCAATGTGAAGGACAAGAGAGGAATCTTCGAACAGGCACTATCAGGCCCTCTGAGTGCTGTTTGTGTGAATGTCTCTTATGTTTTTCATTATCTACTCTAAGACATCAGACAGATGTTACATTTACCAGTTACCAGGAAAAACCTTTTTTCTGAATGCACTTGCTAGCTTGATGCTTTTATTTTCACATAATGCAAGAAATGAAGAAACAATCAAAATTCTTCAAAGAAGAAGTAACATTATGACAATAATATTATAATACTTAAATGGTGTATTACAGCTTTGAGGAATTTATGTGCACTAACAGTAGAGTATCTCCCAGAAAGAAAGATGCTTCAGAATATTACCATATTTCTGAAACCACCAGTGACAATATTATTTCCTGAAAAAGGCTAGTACTTGTGAGAAAGCAACATCAAGAAAATATATCTATGATGACGCTGGAGCAGTGATAGCTATGACAACTATACTTTTTCACTATTAGCTGAGTAATATTCTGCATTTATTTTGTGAACAGAGCCACATGACAGGTTTACAAGTTTGGATGTATCTTCATTTTAGTAATGGAAAAGAAATTGAATACAGGATTTTGTTTTCGAAAGCTTGTGAAAACAGGTGGGAGAAATAGCAAAATCTACTTCCCCATATTGCCATTTTACATACCGAATTTTGACATTTGTCCTTGGAGGAGTTAAAAGGAATTTCCCCTAGGCAGTACTCCAGTGGTTAAGGGAGAGAGGGAAGAAAAGTAAAGCTCTTTCTAATGCACAGCCCTATGATGGAGAACAAGATCACAAAATGTCTTTCCTCCATTTTAATAATGAAACCCCTATTTCTAATTTCTACCCATAGCACTAAGTAGCAATATTTCAGGACCATCATTCATTACCATGGTAACATGCCCTGATATTACAAGCAGTTAATTATGTTGCTTCCATGTTGTAGACTGTGTGGTTTATTTACAGAAAGAGATAAACATTTAATGAAAGCATCTCTGAACATATGAACAAAATAAAAACTGCCATTCTATCCCTCATATTCAAAATAGCATAGGTAATTTCATGGCTATTTTGATAATTTCTCAGCTACAACACATCAACTCTGTAATGAAGTAACTGCATCTGACTGTCATCTGGACTCCCCTTGTAAGGGAAAGAACCTGAGAAAAGACAGCCAAAAAATCCTCAACTGTCTCATAAACGACGAGATGAATATTCTGTAATTGTTTGATATTGTGATAATTTTGTGGCAAATCATCACTGGATATGCATTTTTATAAGCCTGAATTAATACTGTTTTGTTATAACGTGACCTGCAAATGCAATGCATCCTACAAGAAAAAGAATATTGATTGAGTAATAATGTTTGAAAAGACAAGTTTACAACATCAATCTAATAAAAAAGGGAGGTTTTTAAGAATAAGCACTTAAATTTTATCAAATTTAAAAGGCAGGCCTGACTGCTTGACTGACATATTCATAATTCACAGAAATGTTGTCTAACTCTTTGCTGAAATAATTAGTTCTGTAAGACTCCACAACTTTTATATATATGGATGTTTTTATCAACAATTTAGACAACCATTAAATATATGATGGTTATGTCTGCAGTTAGAAGGGCAAAAGAAAACTGAGCACATCACAGAGTTACCTGAATTATTCAGCTAAAATGCCAAACGGCAAGAAGTGAATTTTAGTATCGTCAAATACAAGGAACACATGTGGAAATAAACATTTCCTGATTTTACCCACAGGATAAATGCCTCTGTTTAGAAAGTTGTGATTAATCAAATTTTAAAGGTCATAACATATTATCACCTCAAACCATCACTGTATCAAAGAGCACTAATGTGATGCTGCATTACAAATGTTTAAAAAGAGGAGTGCCACATTAGAGTAGAGAGATGACCTTCCCTGTGCTAAGTAACCACTTTCCTGGTTACCAGCACTGGGCCCAGTGCTGGTACAGCATATCCTGATACAATTATCCACTTGAAAAAACATATGAAAATCCTGAATAATTCAAAGGAAGACCACAAAACTGATCTGGTCTAAAAAGTAACTCACATAAAATAAAATGTAGTGTTCTACTTAGCAAAGACAGTACTGAGAGATTACTTTATCACTTAATATACGTAAGTTAAATGAGGATTTTCAACTTTGTTATTAAAAATGCTACATGAGCCAATAGCTGGGTGATGATGTAAAAAAAATTCAGCCCCAGAAGAAGAAGTAATATCCTTGAAGTTAAGTGTTCTGACAGTTTACAAGAGGAGTGATATAACTCATCCGCTCTGCAGTTTCTGAAACAAAGCCATTTTCATGCTTAAACAGATACCTGGGGGAGAATCAAATGTAGCAGCCCCTGCTAACTTTTCGCTTTAGAAATAACCAGATAATTTATTGTGTTTTATTTTGCTGTCCTTCTCTGAAGTCCTGAGCAGTGTATGGTCTCTGGAGCTAATCCTTAGGGGGGTCTCATGTGATACACCAGGGAATCCAATTTTTTGCACAGCCTGCTGATATTTTGCACAGCAGCAAGAATTGTGGCGAGTTTTTTTTTTCCTGCCTTCATGTGGATCATCTGCTGGCTGATTTGGGCATACCTAAACTCATCAATTTGCTGTAAGTATAGAGGCTGTGAAGGTTGCTGGTGTCTTTGTCTCTCTTGTACTTTTTATCACTTGTAACTGTTAATCTCTATAGGATATAAACACACCAGCTAAGACAAATTTACAAAGTTAATAGTCCATGATGTTGACAAGACATGCAGGAATACTGTGAAGAAGTAGACATGGAGTAGACATGGAAGAGACTAGGCTGGCAGGCTCTGGGAGTGTTGCAGGGGTGTCACAATACACCCAGCACACTCCACAGTCAAAGCACTATAAGGGATGGTTTTCCTTGTCCTGTGAGGGTAACAAACCACTCCACAGTGCTCCTGGGACACTACTGGCCCTAAATGCTCCTGTTTCTAATATATTTGGGGAAAAGAATTTAACACCTGGATACAATCACAGATCATATGCTTTCAGTTCATGAATCCAGCGCTGAAAGGCAGACTGCTTCAAGGAGCTTTGTCTGGGTTTATTCTGATCTCTGGTGCAGCTGTAGCTGGTGAAATGTTTACGCTTGGAACTGATAGCCTTGCTAAACACTCCTCATCTTCTTTCCCAGAGGAAAGAAACTTCAGTTTTTCTTCTTGACACAGCAATCTTTTCCCCATCATTTCAGTAGCTAATAATTTATCCCTTTGCTTGCTTCTAATCTCATCATTAGTCATGTGCCTTCACAAAAGCAATATAATACATCAGACTAAAGCTGTTGGGGTTAGAGGTTTAGGCTTGGCTTTTCAAGGCTGTAATTCCCAACTTTCAAGCAAAACAATATTTACAACTTTTCCTAGGTTTGTAACAGTGGCTAGTAAAACATCCACATGAAAGAAAATACAATTACAATATGGTTTGCATATCTGAACCTTCTGGCTTGACAAACTTAGATATCACATGCTTAGTTCTACCCACTTTAATTTGTTTTGCTCAGATATGGCAGACCATAAATAAATCTTAAAATTATTGCAGTTTTGCCCTGATTTCTCAACAATGGTGCTTTTTTCACTTAACTAAATATACTAACATTTAGAGTTTAGCTCAAAACAGTTTAAAACCACCAATTTTATCAAAACATGGTTAAAAATATTTATGCTTGAGTTGAGTGAAGTTTTTTGTTTACTTTCTCTTGTAAGATTTATCTTGGCAATATGTAGGCAGAGTTTTAGACTGGTGTATTTGCTGATTCTGTTCCCAATGTATTGACTTTTATCTTGCTATATTTCTCCTGTTCTGAGACAAATATCAAACTATCCAGCCTACAGTAACATTTTAACATATCAAAGGTAATAAGAGATTATAAAAATGTTACATTTAATGGAAGTATATGAATCTTATACAACTATTGCTGCACGCATCAAGAATCACTGTGGGACTGTTAAACTGCAAATCGACTTCAAATGTGTAAGTTCTCATGGTTTGAGCTCCAACAAGTTTCTTACAATACAAGAAATCAAAGGCATCTGTGCTGAAGTGCCTCTACTTCTTATTAGTATCATCAGTAGCTATCCTACTCCCAAGTTTAAAAGTGTTGCAGTATAAAAATGCAGAGGCTGGCAGCATCTGATAGAACTACTGAGTACATCAATTCAATCTTCATCATGGCTTATAAAATAATATGCACTGTACTACATAAATATTGTTTTAGTTCTAATACAAACACTGAGAGAGCCTTTGCAAAGATTTACAGGTTAATTCAAGGTACTGCACTTACCAAGATGCGTGTTCATCATCTTCGCACAATATTTGCACATGGCTTCCAAATCATTTAGCTGTCCTTGTAGGAATGAAATCTGGGCCTCTAATTCCTCCTCCTACAGGGAAGAAATTATTAGCATTAAAACCCCCAAAATTTCTATAATGCAGAGTAAAAGTAGTAGGTTAATCCTTGACATGCTTAGACCTCTTTTAACTTTTTCTACTCATTTGTTCTTGGAAAGTTTTGCCATTTCATGGAAATAGGGTTTGGTTTTAATATCTCAGTGTTTATTAGTACTACTCTTTTTCCTTCTAAGGAGTTAAATAAAAAATCTATCTACATTGACCTCAGAAAGATTAATGATCCAGGATTCTTTTATAGACCAGCTACCTGGTTTCACTTGTGCAAATGCAGTACCACAGCACTGTCTATAAAAGCTCACCAAATGAGAAAAATTTAGATTTCTGGCTGAATAATTTCCATAATTTCCTCAGCTATTCCTTTGAATTTTTTTTTTAAATTTCAATAAACATATTTCATGAGACCTAGTATTGCATCTTAAGGATGCATCACTGCGATATATTTTGGCACACTTATTTTTGTAACACATCATCCTCTATCAGTATTTAATCCCTACACTTCTGTGCACAGCCACCTTCACTTTAATAAACCATCATTCATAATATTTAGGTGAAAACTATTTTTAATACACATACTATAAAGCAGTTACTCTAAATGATCAAGTTAAGGTTAAAAAAATATGCATCAATTATAATTTAAGATAGGAATTAAAAAATTTTATTTGAAGGCCCAGGAGAAGCATTAGTACCTAGCCATGGATACATGCCCTGTCTAGGCAATGGGAACTACCTCAGCTAAGAATTCCTCTGAGTGTCTTTGTTTGCTGGTTTATAAATCCATCCAGTCTTGACTTTGAAGACCATACTCTAGAGGAAGGTCACCACTCCTTTGGAAAAATCTTTCAAAGCTAAGTCAAAAACAGTATTAAGCACGTTTTTGTTTAATTGAATTTAAGATATTCAGAGAAAGTCAAAGTAGCTTTTTAGCCTCCTGTTTTTCTTTGGAGCTTTGCAGTTCTATCACAGTCTTGCCTGATGGAGATCACTGAGCATTAGCGAGTGAATTACTATTCAAATGGAAAAAAATTATCAAAACTGATTAGCAAGAATAATTAGAATGAGTCAGTCTTGATTTAAAGGTAAAAGTGATCTTAATCTCCATCAGAAACCAAGGCAGAACCAAGTGAAGGAAACTTTGCACTAATACATCATAAATTCAAAAGCAATAGATGAATAAAAAGCAATGTTAACTGTAGCATTATCAATTTTTGCCTACACACTTTTTCCTTGCACCTAACAGATATGAAATATTTTTTCCTTGCTATTTCTTCATATTACATACTCTCACCTTTTTCTTCTTATCCTCATACTTTGACCACTTAAACCTCAAAGGGATTGATTTAATTTGCCAATTTAGAGTTGCTGAGTGACCTCATTCAGAGTCTGCAGTTATGTCATGGCCTATACAAGCATACCTGCATTGACATTTCTATTCAAGTGATGTCCCTGCAGAAGATTTTTTTCTAGTACAAACAGCTATTGACTGCAAGAGATAATCTACCATAAATTTTAAACTGCCATTGGCACTGTAAGTGAAGCTGTAAGATAGGAAAAAGTGACAATATTTGAGTATTCTACTATAAAATAACACCATCAAATTCTAAAATCATTAGCCAGTAATTGAACCCCAGTTTGTCTCCTAATAGATGAATAAGAAAATTTAACTTCTTGTAATAAATATTTCCATGTCTCCTAGACTATTTTTTATTATTCAGAGGTGGGAACTGCAGTAAATTGATCTTGAAATGCTTTTGGATAAATGAATCCATCCAAACAGAGCCTGAAACTGACCTTTTCTATTATACAACAGTACCTCTTCTCTTGGCAAGTGAGAGCAGTGCTGATTAAACTACATCCCCTGCTCTTTCCGCTTGCTGGGATCCAGCATGGGGAGGAGCAGTGTTCAGCAGACCCAGCAGGTACAAAGCAGGGAGCTGTGGTCAGGGAGTCACAGACAGTGCATGAGGTCTCCTTTCCAAGTGGGAAATCTTGCAGAAGGCTAAATGAACTTACAGTTCCTGACTTATCTGGCAATCTTGGGAAGGGCACCAAGCAATGCTGGCACTGGGATGGGCCAATAGGCAAGACAGTTAACTTGGCACTTGACACACAAGAGACCCAGGGTTGTTTGCACACTTAGACAACATCCAAATGGTGTAACCTCCACCTCTGCTGTCACCACCAGTGCTGTAACAACCTCTGTGCAGACTCTGAGAGGGACCTTCCTGATGGGCCTTTGCTCTGTTGTAGTTCCCCAGCAGCAGGTGAGGAGTTGTAAGAAGAGGAAGGTGTGTTTTACTCCACTGGGGTGACTGACAGGTGATTGACAAAATCTTTCCAGGTGTAAAATTTCATGCAACAGACAGGAAAAGTGCAGCTGAGGCAAGATACAGTGGGAAGAAGGCATGCACTGATAACGAGGGAGGGAGCTGTAAACTTGTGGCTTCGGGCAGCAGAAGGACTGCCCAGTGGTGCAGGGCCCAGTCAGCAGACGGTAAAAACAAGCTCCCTCAGAGGAAGAATTCAGGTTGGACACTGACTGTATCAGAGCACTACCAAGGGAAAGTGGTGAGTGACAGTGTGTGGCTGGTGACTCTTCAAGCCTGACTTGTCAACTAGATAGGTTTCTTGCTTGTTTGGAGCCTCCATTGTGGTGTTGCAAAAGACTGTTTGGGGTCACCTAATGTTCTGACTTTTCCTTGCTTATTCATGCATTCACCAAAGACAGGATGATGTGAAACCATTTTAGTTCAAAAGTGACTGTAGGGCTCCTGAGCAAGGGTGAAGGGCACAGAAATGCTGGTGGTATTTCTCTTCAATCCTATGACAAAAGGGAAGAGCTTGGAGAGCAGCAGGTGTACCAGGGAGCCCACATATGGTTACATACTTGCTGGCATTAGCTGGGCTTCAACTATTTTGCTTGTGGCTCCCAGTTTGACGAGGACAGACAACTTATTGAGAACAGGTCTACCTGGCAAAGATGGGGAAGAAATCTTTGTGAATAGACTTGCTAATCTAGTGGGGAGGACTTTGCCACAGAACAAGGACCTAACCCAGATATACATGAGGAATCAGCACATACAGACAAGGTAGGCAGAAAGTCCACTCAGCTGAGTAACGAACTTCTTAATGAACTGAAATGGGAAAAGCACATATGGAGGTGGAAATGGTGGAAATGGAGAGCACATGTGTGGAAACAATGGCAGGAAACAAAGGACAGGCACACAATCATTGTTTGGGCACATGAACAAAACTAGGAAGGACAAAACCCCATCTGGAGCAAAAATTAATGGGGGACATTACGGGGTAACAAGAAGTGATCTTATAAGTATGCAGAGCAGCAAAAGGAGATTCAAGGAAAATGGTCTATTGCTAATTAATGGAGATAAGACAATGACACAGGGTACAGAAAAGGCTGCAGCACTTGAATCCATTTTTGCATCTCACTTTTTAGGCCAGCTCTGTTCCCAGACCTCTGCATGAACTGTTTGGGAAGGAGAGGAATGGCTATGGAGGGAGGAAGGGCATAAGCTGGTTAATAACTGAAGAAGAAATGTGTGTACTCAAACATATAGGACCACATGAGATATACTTATGGATGCTGAAAAAACTGACGGTGATTGCAACACCACTGGCTATCACAGTGAAAAATCACTGCTATTACAGAACATGCTTGATGACTGCAGAAAGGTTAATTTTACATACATACTAAACAAGAGTGAGGTGGGTATCTAAGAAACTATACAATGTTTGGCCTCACCTTAGTCCTTGGAAAAATCGTGGAGCATGTCCTCTTGGAATCAATTTCCAACATGTAAAGGACAAGACAATAATCAAAAAAAGTCAATAAGGATTTACCAAGAGCAAATCATGTTTGGCCAACCTGGTTGCCCACTATGATAAAATGACTGGGCATGCAGATGAAGGGAGGGAAGTGAATGCAATGAAGTTTTACTGTAGTTAGGCTTTTGACACATTTCCAAAAGTGTCATCATTTATAATATGATAATATCTGGGTTGAATGAAAGGACTGTAGTTAGGCTGGATTGCTCAGAATCTCAAACTTAAAGAACAGAGTCAATAGCTTGATGTCCAGTTGATGTTTGGAAATGAGCACAATAACAAATGGACTGTTATGAAGACACTGGTTCAGTATCTTCATCAACAGCCCAGATAAGGAGACAGAATGTACATTCAGTAGATTTTCAGATGATACAAATCTGGGAGGTGTGGCTGCTGTGCTGACTGGTGGAACTTCAATTCATGAGCACCATGAGACATGGGAAGCCTAGGCAAGAGAAGCCTTTTTGAGATTTCTGTTTTAGAAATTTTCTTATGCACAGAATTCTGCACCTGAGAAGAAAAATCCCAATTGGAGACAGGAAAGGAACTTTTTGTTTCAGATCTGCTGAAAAGGATATGGAGGCTACAGTGGCTGTTGAGCCACTAATAGATAAGTTCTCTTATAATGAATAATGTAAACAGTTGCACTGAGCTACATTATGAGCAATGTGGTCAGCAGATCCAGGAAAGCCATTACACCCCTTTCTATTCAGTGCTTGTGAGCTCTCACCTTTTATAATGCTTTGGGCTTGGAGTTCAAAGACAATGGGAAACTGGAGAGGACCCAGTGCAGGGCTTCTGGGAAGGCTACAGGTCTGGAGGAAATGCTGAAGGAGCAGTGCTTGTTTATTTTGGTGAAGAGGATTTCAAGGGGAATCTACTGGAAGCCTGTAACTACATGAAGTGACAAAGATGATGGAATCAAACTCTTCACAGATTATATAGAAAGCACTATGGCCCAAAACTGCCACTTGAAAGGTTCAAATTGGTCATTAGGAAAATATTCTTCATTAGGGGAGCAGTGCAGCACTGGAAGAGGTTACAGAAGAGGTAGTTTCTATTCTAAGTCACTGGCCTGACCCAATGCTAGTGATTGTCTTATTCCAAGTAGCAGCTTAAGCAGAAGTCTATGCTATGCAACATTTCCAAGACTAATCTTTTCACAATGCCTTTCAAAGACTGCTCTGTACAGGTAAGCAGCTAAATCATAAATCCCCTCAGGAAAAATGACCTTTTTTCAGTATTCTAATGTCAAATTCTTTAGCAGTATTAGATGAAACAACTGATTTACAGCCAGCATAGTGCAGATGCTCTCATACACACTGCACTTTCCTCTAAGTGTAACTTTTCATTGTGCTAACATTGTGCTGGATACCATTTTTATTTTGTGTACATATAGCAGTGCTGATTTGATCTCTCTTATGCATGAACAGAGACTTATAAATTCTTTGAACAGGCCAAACCTAAGGCAGGAGAAATCCAGTATGGTCTGGACCAACCTTTCAGCTGAAACTGCCCCTTCAGCTGATCTGACACACACAGCACCAGAAACACATGAATGACTACAACTCATTCAAACAAAATACAAAATCAGTGTCAATTTACCAAACAACATGTTCTATAAAGCTCAATATTTTCTAATATTGGGAGCTGCATTATGAGGAAGAGAAGCAAATCAAGCAGCAAATCAAACTAAGGAATCACTGCATCAGACACGGGAGACCAAGATCTGCAAATTTACATATGCAATCTTGCAGAAAAACAACTTAGTGCTTTCTGAAAATTCAGTTCCAGTGTTGTCAAAAAACTATGACACACCTTCAACCTTGCAGATGATGTACAGCCTTACAGACAACCATTAACATCTGGAATTTAACAGGAGAATAAAAAGGAAGTAATTTATTTGTGATACTACATTGATTTACATTTCACTACCAATATTAGGCAGGCTAGAATTTATGTCTCCAGACAAAATAAGATTCTATTTGAGTGCCTTCATATACACATCTCTATTTTCCTGGTTTTGGCAAGACTGAATCTGCAAAAAACTTGACTTAGATTTATGTTTCTCATATTTGTCTTTCTTCTCATCCACATATAGAACTTTGCTTTCACTGTTACATTTCCTTTTTTTTTTTTTCCTTTTGCCATGAGAACTAATTATTTTATGATTAATTTTGACATTTCTTTGCTATTTCCTCCCCCCAGTCTATACAGTTCTGGTAGTCTCCATTTGTCCAAAGCTCATTCTTCTGTTTTTACAACACTTCCTCTCATCTATCTTCTCACCTTTACAAAGAGAGCTATGGAAATAAATTTTTATATCCTTCCTTTTCTCCTGAGCTCATAATGAGATCACTGATGCGTCCCCATGCCCCATTTTTCATCAAATTTTACTACATCAGGAAAAAAGCTGTGAATAACTGAAATTGGTCAGTATAGTCAAGAACAGAAACTTTTACACCTTTGACACTGTAATCCTATAGTTTTACAGCTCATGGCTTTACAAGCTGCAATATGGCTTGCAGACCTGAGTACAGGCACTGGAATTTGGTATCCTTTACAAGGTATGATGACATATGGTTTTGGAAGGAAGCCACTCTTTCTTAAAATTGCTTTTATCAGTTTAAACAAATTTTCACCTGAATATATGACATGTAGCTTAACACAGAATTATTGAAAACAGGGAAAACAAACATAGAAAATCAGGACTGTAATGCCTTTCTTTCACAATACCATTTAGTTTTCAGTCTTGCTATTCAGGAGATGGAAGAAAAATTGTACTTTTGTCTGTTTAACCCATGTAGAAAAGTCAAGGAAAAGCAACTCTGTTGTCAAAGCTTACAACAATGTATGTCCAAGCATTTCATTCATGAATGCTCAGAATGGCAGAATTCCATTAATCTTAAATTTGAATCCTGAATAAGAATTAACTTGGCAGCACCACCAAGTGTGAAATGCTGTGGAAAAGAAGCTATCTCCAATGAGAAGAGTATTTAAAGGTGTTTAAGGTATTTAGGCATTAATGCTGACATTTAAACCATAAAAAAGCCCCAAACCATTGACAGAACTGAGCTGGCAGAAGAGCCCAGTCTTCCTGGGGTCTGTTCTGATGATGGTCAATGATGGGTTGGGTGAAGTGTGGAGAAAACAGAATGTCATGACATAAACATGAAACAGTACTGCCCAGAATACTCTTCCAGACTATACAGATTTGCACAGCAGTGATGTCTTGAGCTTGAGATGGTGTTGGGGTTCTTTCATTTGCTTGTTTGTTTTTTCCTGTAGTTCATAGCTACTTTTCTTATATTATTTTGCCCAGTCACATTTTCAGATTTTTCAGCATTCATAGTAAGAGCACTCAGAAAACATACCATAGCTCTTGGCAAATTGGCAGGGCAAATTAGAAAATAATTTTGATGAGGTATCGAAACATTTAGAGGAAAATAATGGGAAAACCGAGATAGATACATGGAAATACTGAAGTCTGGGACTTGCAAAGAGTTTTACCAGTACGTAAGTTTTTATCCATAAATTGTACACAGAGTATACTTTTTAGATGTCAGTAGCAGTTTACAAGTCAAACAAGATTCAGATGCAAGGCATAAATTGCTTTCTCATTTAATTTTAAGCAAATTCCTGTGGAGTCAAAAGCAGCAGTTACTCCTTTCATTTTGTGGGAATTTATTTAATTTTATAATCTAAGAATTAAACACAAGATTTAACCTTATAATCTTCAATCTCTGACAGTTGACTGTTGGTTGACACCCCCATAATTTTTTTATATTCTGTGCCAGCCACAGAATAGTGTACAGCATATGGTGACATTTAAGCCAGAAACCCCTGTTTCTGAGCACTGAATTACATACAGTGGAAATTAACCCAAGCTTTTAATTTATTTTATTGATGATTTTAACTGGTTATTTAACTGTATCACTCCCAGTCCCAAGCCTTGCTCTGCTGGGTGCTGTACAAACATAAAAACAAATCCCGCTTCTCTGAAGGACTTCAAGGTGTAAGCCAAGAGACAACAGATGGCTGGAGACACACATATGGGGAGGACATGGAAACAATATGGCTATATTAGTCAGTCTTCTAGACATGGCTTCAGCATGGAGCCAAACTGTTGTTGATGAAAAGGTGGAATTTTTGAGAGAGTTTTCACAAAGCATTTATTTTGCAGATGTTTAGAGAAAGTTCTTTTATGTGGAAGTGGCTATGAAATGATTAGATGAAAGTGCACCAAGCACATCAGAGTCAGGTGCAAAATGTATATTGTTACTTTCACATTGAAAATTTTGGTACCTGTGAAATTTTTGCATAAAATGAAATTTTGTGAATATTAATATATTACCCAGTGAGTACATAAAGAAGTTAAGATACTGCCTTCTGCAGAAGAAGGGGTTATGTATTGATTTCCTGTACTGAACCATTATCTGACAGTATTTATCTGTCTATATGCTAATAGAAATATCTCCATACTTAATATATTTCCAAATAACTCATGTTTTGTGTTCTTCACATCTTCACATCTGCATAGTTTTTTATTATTTTGAATACACTTTCATAAATGTTAAACATGTTAAGCACAGTACCTTCAGCTAAGTCCTACGAGCTTGTATTTTGCTCCTTTAGACTGTAGGCACAGCAAACATGAACCCTGTTTTTATTTTATACCTTTAACTCCTGCTTAGGCTTTCATCATTTTAACTCAGACTGCTATTCAAGTGTGGTACGAGATAGCTTAAGTAGGAATGTCTTTCTTTCTTTTTTTCTTACATATTCTTCAAAATTTCTCTTAATTTCACTAGTGTAGGGTAGTGCTAGTAAGCACAGCTGCTCAGACTTTATACTATCTGATAGTTACACACTTATTTCAGTGCTTTTCTAGATTAGAACCCTTAAAGCACCAACAGGCTTTCTGTCAGATTAGAGAAACCTTTTTTAAAA